TTCTTTTAACTTTATTCTTTTTTTTGTTTTTGTTTTTGTTTTTGTTTTTGTTTTTGTTTTTCAAGACAGGGTTTCTCTGTGTAGCTTTGCGCCTTTCCCGGAACTCACTTGGTAGCCCAGGCTGGCCTCGAACTCACAGAGATCCGCCTGGCTCTGCCTCCTGAGTGCTGGGATTAAAGGCGTGCGCCACCACCGCCCGGCTCTTAACTTTATTCTTATTAGTTTTTTTTTTTTAAATCAGTAGTGAATTTCATTATGGGTTTTTGTTTGTTTTTTCAAAACAGTTTCTCTGTGTACAGCTCAGGCTGTCCTGGAACTTGCTCTGTAAACCAGGCTGTCCTCAAACTCACAGAGAGCCACCTGCTTCTGCCTCCCGAGTGCTGGTATTAAAGGCATGTGCCACCACCCCCAGCTCATTATGACGTTTTAAAAAAAGATTTATTTTGAGTTCTCTATCTGCATGTACAACTTTATGCCAGAAGAGGGCATCAGATCCCACTAGAGATGGTTGTGAGCCACCATGTGGTTACTGGAAATTGAACTCAGGATCTCTGGGAGAGCAGCCAGAACTCTTAACCGTGCTCCAGCCCTTATTATGACTTTTTTAATTTTTCCAAGACAGGGCTTTTTTTTTTTTTTTTTTTTTTTTTTTTTTTTTTTTTTTAGATTTATGTATTTATTACGTATACAGCATGTATGACTGCAGGCCAGAAGAGGGCACCAGATCTCATTACAGATGGTTGTGAGCCACCATGTGGTTGCTGAGAATTGAACTCAGGACCTTTGGAAGAGTAGTCAGTGCTCTTAACCTCTGAGCCATCTCTCCAGCCCCCAAGACAGGGTTTTTCTGTGTAGTTTTGGTGCCTGTCCTGGATCTCGCTCTTTAGACCAGGCTGGCCTCGAACTCACAGGGATCTGCCTGGCACGGCCTCCCGAGTGCTGGGATTAAAGGCGTGTGCCACCACCGCCCAGCTTCATTATGACATTTGTGTGTGTGTGTGTGTGTGTGTGTGTGTGTGTGTGTGTGTGTGTGTGTGTGTGGTTTTTCGAGACAGGGTTTCTCTGTAGCTTTGGAGTCTGTCCTGGACTAGCTCTGTAGACCAGGCTGGCCTCGAACTCACAGAGATCCACCTGCCTCTGCCTCCCGAGTGCTGGGATTAAAGGCGTGCGCCACCACTGCCTGGTGTCATTATGACATTTTTACATGTACTTTTTCTTATTGAATCTCTGTCCTTACTCCTATGCCCTGTTGACCGTGACTCTTTACAAGACGCGAGCAGGGAGCTGCAAAGAGAGGTCAAAACCCAACCCTGTCCCCTGGGGCCAGACAGCAGAAAATTGGCAGAGCTGGGCTTTGGGGTGTTATTTCATTATATGGCTCTCACTGGAGTGGAAGTTACTATGTAGTCCAGGCTGGCCTCGAATTTAACAGCCATCCTCCTGCCTTTGCTTTCTGAGTGTTAAAAGAGTGCACCTCCATGCTGGGCTCAGATTGAGTCTTAAATTCGGATCAGGTCTAAAGATACTGAGCTCTCCCCCCGACCCCCGACACCCTTTAAATTTTTTATTTTTGTTTCATGTGCATTATGAGGCTGTCGGATCTTCTGGAACTGGAGTTAAAGGCAGTTATGAGCTGCTATGTGGATGCTGGGTGTTGGGAATTGAACCCAAGTCCTCTGGAAGAACATTGCTCTTAGCCATCTCTTCAGCATGAGCGCGCGCGCGCGCGCACACACACACACACACACACACACACACACACCGCACCTTTTTTGTTTTGCTTTTTTTGTTTATTCAAGACAGGATTTCTCTCTGTGTAACAGCCCTGGTTTTCCTGGTACTCGATTTGTAGACCAAGCTGGCCTTGAACTCACAGAGATCCGTCTGCCTCTGCATCCCGAGTGCTGAGACTAAAGGTGTGAGCTACCACACCGGCTGCTGCTCTGATTCTCAAGGCGCGGTTCCTGTTATGTTTTCTGTTTTGTGCGCCTGGTTAGTGTTGCCTGCCTCCGGAAACCGCAAAGTTCCCACTTGCGCATCTCTAGTTATTTGGTCTAGGGCCGCCTACCGGGCGCGGGAACCGACCCAGGGGAGCCTGTTGATGCTCAGGCCTGTAGAAACGACACGGTGGTGGTCAATTTCTCTTTCCAGCACTCCGCCAGGACTAGGGGAGTCGGGGGAAAGATGCTTGGCCGTGTCCATGGTTACTGGGAAGGCACCGCCTGTCATTCAGGCAAGCCAGCAGGAACTACGTTTACCCAAGCATCGGTAGTGTGCACTGGCCAACGCCAGCCAGGGAGGCGGGGCTTCCGGCGGCCTAGGTTGTCAGTTTGCAGACCGGCTTCGGGCCACACGGGTGATCCTGATTGGTGCGTGAGGGACCGGGCCGACTCTGCACTCTCCAAGAGGTTCTGGGGACCCAAGACTAGGGCAAGTGAGGACGGTACTCGCAGCTGCCCGCTTCGGGCCGTGGCTCAGCACAGGTCTGCTCTGTAAGCCGGTGGCCCTTCCTCCGAGCCTCAGTTTCCCCCGTTGACTCGTAGGCGACGGTTGAGACCGTTAGGGCCGTTCCTGGAGCCACGTACGCTCCATCCCCCAGCTGCAGCCCATCAGCAGTCCTCTGGGCGTACAGCGCCCTCGTCTGACCGGGAAACTGAGGCCCCGGCGGGCTGCGCGAGGCCGTGGGCGGGGACGGGCTATGCCCGGGTCTCCCGCCCGTCGCGCCCCGCCCCCACTGCAGATTCGGACCGCGGCGACCTGGCCACTGACAGATACCTCGCCGGTGAGTGTAGGGATCCTACCATGTCCTGGCTTGCCCTCTTGCTGTGTGTTGTGGGGAGGTCAGCAGTTGTTTCCAACACCGTAATCCAGGTCAGTGAGGGTGGCCGGTGTGGAAGCCTCTCTTGGGATAGCCAAGAGGGTAAGGAAGGGCTGGAAGAAAGTTAAAGGGAAGAACCCAGACGTGCAAAAGCAACCGTGAGACTTTTATAGTTTGAAGGCAGTTGACTCTTCTTTTGAGGCTGTCCAGAAGTTAGATACATAGCCAAGAATGGTCTTGCATTTCTGGTCCTCCTGCCTCCACTTCCTGAGTACTGGATTTGCAGGCATACACCACCACACCCAGTTTTTACCTTACTGGGGATGGAACTCAAGGCCTTGTGCATACCATGCAAATACTACAAACTGAGCTATGTTCCCAGCCTGGAACTTAGCAGTTTAGATGTGGAATGAACAGGGAAGGGAGGACGTGTATGATTGAAATTATCAGGCAGAGGAGTTGGGACTTTGTCCCAAAGGCATTGGAAGACACGGAGTGCTTTAAACATAGCCTGGACAGTTTCCCAGTTAGGGTTTTTTAAAAGATTTTTTATTTCTAATTATGTGCATTTGTGTGTGGGTATATGCACATGACTGTCGGTTCCCCTGGAGCTGAGTTTCAGGCACTTGTGAGCCATCTAATGTGGATGCTGGGAGCTGAATTCTTGTCCTCTGGGAAAGCAGCAGACACTCTTAACCACTGAGCCATCTCTCTGGCCATAGTTTCCTGTTTTGTTTTGTTTTAAGACAGTCTCACTATGTAGATCTAGCTGGTCTGCAACTTGATATGTAGACCAGGCTGGCCCTGAACTCACAGAGATCCACTTGCCTCTGCCTCCTAAATGTTGGGATTAACCATTGCATCCAGCCCCTCAGTTAGGATTTTGAAAGCATCCTTTTCTGAGTGTAGGAGAGACATGGAGGAGGCATCATTATGCAGAACAAAGTCCATGGGAATGATGGTGGGCCCTGGACCAGACTAGTAATGGTAGTGGTTAAAGTGGCTTAAATATGGGTAGATATGCTGAAGTGTCAGGTTTATAGAACCAGAGTTATAAGTAAAGGACTCTCTTGTCAGCTTAAGCATCTGGGATGCTGGAATGACTGTAGATGTGGAGAAACCCAGGAGTGTGTGCTGTCCCAGAGTGAACTGGTTTGGTGGGCCTGAAGTGATAGATGTCCAGTTAACTGATCTTGGTGTCTTGAGTCAAGATCTGAGAACTGAAGGGGCATAGTTTCACAGGCTTGATCAGGGGTGGTCACTTAGGACTTGAGAGCGATGAAGAAAGGCAAGCCTGAGCCGGCGGTGGTGGCTTTTGCCCTTTAACTGCCTCCATTCATTCATAAGTTTTCTCTATGAAGAGAGCAAGCAAACACATGCACAGAACACTACAAAGACGACACATGCCGGGCAGTGGTGGCGCACACCTTTAATCCCAGCACTCGGGAGGCAGAGCCAGACGGATCTCTGTGAGTTCGAGTCCAGCCTGGTCTACAGAGTGAGATCCAGGACAGGCACCAAAACAACACGGAGAAACCCTGTCTCCAAAAACAAAAACAAACAACAAACAAAAAAAGGCAAGCCTGTGGCTATTGAGGGAAAGAATCCAGCAGGTGGCTGAGCAAGAGGAGGAGTAGATAAGAGAAGAAAGGAAATGAAACACTGGTATGGAAGAAGGTTGACTTCCTGTATGTCTACCAGATTGATGAGGCCACTCCCACCCTACCCCCATAGAAGTGACTGGGATTCTCCATTTATGTTTATTACAAAGAGCCAACTTTGTATGTGTCTGTGTTGTATTGGTTTTGGTTTCTTCGTGTAGCCTTGGCTGTCCTGGAACTGGACTCTATAGACCAGGCTGGCCTCAAACTCACAGAGATCTGCCTGCCTCTGCCTCCCAAGTGCTGAGATTAAAGGTGTGCATCGCCATTACTCAGCTATTGTGTGTGTGTTTTGAGACAGGCTCTCTCTACATAGCCCCTGGCTGTCCTGGAACTCACTATGTAGACTAAGCTGGTCTTGAACTCACAGAGCTACACCTGCCTCTGCCTCCTGAGCCAGTACTACAGGGAAGGAAGATAAGTGTCTAAGAAGTATTAAGGAGAGATAGCCATAGGACAAAGAGCTGGTTCCTGCCTCACACAGCCATAGCATAGACACTATCTTATTCTTGCTGTTATAGGGCCTGATGGCCTTTGAGGACGTGGCTGTGTACTTCTCCCAGGAGGAGTGGACGTTCCTGGATGCAGCTCAGAGGGCCCTGTACCGCCATGTAATGCTGGAAAACTTCGCACTTGTAGACTCCATAGGTAAAGCCCTGAATCCTCCATTGGAAGCAAAGCTGGGACCAGGTATGGCAGCCAGCTGAGGTTACCAGTTTTGGGGGCCATTACAACTGTCCCCTCTCTCCCTAGCTGTCTATGAGTGGGGCCCTCTATCCATGGACCATGTGAGGAAAGATGGGGCCCTGAACACATGCAGTCTGATAAGTTCAACCATTTCCCGTATCCCTGAGGTGCTGGCTGGCTACATTCTTCTGTGCCTGGGTTCTAGTGCCTTCATTTGGAGCTGCTGACCCAGTGGTTCCTTATGGAAACCCTTAAGCTGGCCCTGTGAGCCTCCTGTGTGGTATGACCTTTTGGGTACATAGATTACATGGTTGATATCCATGCTATCCCTCGTCCTGCTCTCTGTTGAGGCTGAACTGTCCTGAGCTGGGGCTGACCTCCCATGCTCCTCCTCCCTGCCTCTCTGCCTCGTGTGATCATAGGGCTCTCTGTCTCCCGGCCTCGTGTGATCATCCAGCTCCAGCGTGGTGAGGAACCCTGGGTTCCCAATAGGACAGATACAGGCCCAGGCGGGCGCCCCCACAGAAGACCCAGCATTGGTGAGTTGGGCTCCACCTAGGATGAACTCAGGACCAACTTGGTATCATAATCACCTTCCTTTCCTGGCTCCAACCTCGCTCTCTTCCCTTTCGGAATCCTTTACTCATCCTGTGGCCCTTCCTGCCCTTAGAGAAAAAGCTTGCAGGGCACAGGTGCTGCGTCCATGCGGGAAAGGACTCCTTCGAGGCCCTGCCTCGCCTGTGCTGTGTGGCTTCCCTTCCCACATGGAGCTGTCACATTTGCAGGGCCGCCCCTCCTTCCCAGCTGTTGTTTGAGCACGTCTGGTCGGGCTGTTCCTGTCACTGCACACACAGCATCAGCCAGGACACTGCTGTGCAGTGTGGGGATGCCAGGGAAAGGCAGTCAGCAAACAGACTGATAAGTAGTTCGTAGACTCCAGAGCTGAGCACAAGGAGAAGCAGGCTCGGGAGCTGTGCTGAGAGAAAGTCCCCCAGGACAGCCAGTGCAGAGTCTCGACCGTGGCGGCCATTGCTGCCAGGAGGGCCAAGAGCTGTTAGCTCTTCCCTATCAACTTCTCCCAGGGCCAGCCTACGCCTGTTTTCTCCCTATTCTTTTTTTTTTTTTTTTTTTTTTAATTTATCATGTATACAGTGTTCTGCCTACATGCATGCTTGCAGGCCAGAAGAGGGCACCATAACTCATTACGGATGGTTGTGAGCCACCATGTGGTTGCTGGGAATTGAACTCAGGACCTCTGGAAGAACAAGCAGTGCTCTTAACCTCTGAGCCATCTCTCCAGCCCCTCTCCCTACTCTTTTACACTCACTTCATAGAGTCCCCTGACGGCCCAGGCACTCTGCTGTGGTCACTTCCTGGCCGGCCAGATGACCCAGATAACTATCTTTCCTCTGCCTTCAGGATCCAATTACTATGCAAGGGACAGACACGTGTCTAGAGATGCAGCACTTCCAGGGGTTACCTGTGACGGTCCTGATGGGATCCCTGCTGGTGCCTGCCCTGATGCAAAAATCCTGGAGAGACACCAGAGTGCCTCCCCGTCTCTGCAGAGAAAACCCACAGGGGTATCTGTGATCTACTGGGAGCAGCTACTGCTCGGTTCCAGCAGCAATGAGGCAACTGTGAGCCTGCGATTGACCTCCCCAGTGGGGGTTCCTGAAGATAGTTCACCCAGAGTGAAGGCTTTCTCTGACCTCTTGGCCCCAGGGAAGCAGTCACAGGTAGCCGAGCAGCAAAAGCCAGAGATGCAGCCAACTCCTGGGAGAGTCTTCCAAAGCATCCCAGACCCCCATGAGGGACGTGGAATTAGTGGGACTTGGCACGAATCTCAGATAGACCCCAGTATTCCAGAGCCCCCAATATGGGACGAGCTGGGCGAGGCCCTCCAGGCTGGCCCAGGTCTTCTCTCCGGGGACAAACCTTTTGAATGCAGGGCATGCAACAAAGTGTTCGTGAAGAGCTCAGACCTCCTCAAGCACCTGCGCACCCACACGGGAGAACGGCCATATGAGTGCTCCCAGTGTGGCAAGGCCTTTAGCCAGACGTCACACCTGACTCAGCACCAGCGCATCCACAGTGGGGAGACACCCTATGCATGCATGGTGTGTAGCAAGGCCTTCCGACACAGCTCCTCGCTGGTGCGCCATCAGCGCATCCACACGGCCGAGAAGTCCTTCCACTGCAGCGAGTGTGGCAAGGCCTTCAGCCACGGCTCCAACCTCAGCCAGCACCGCAAGATCCACGCAGGAGGGCGGCCCTATGCCTGTGCTCAGTGTGGTCGCCGCTTCTGTCGCAACTCGCATCTCATCCAGCATGAGCGCACGCACACCGGGGAGAAGCCCTATGCCTGCTCCCTCTGCGGCGCAGCCTTCAGTCAGGGCTCCTCACTCTTCAAGCACCAGCGTGTGCACACCGGAGAGAAGCCTTTCTCATGCCCACAGTGTGGCCGTGCCTTCAGCCACAGCTCCAACCTCACACAGCATCAGCTGCTGCACACTGGCGAACGGCCCTTCCGCTGCGGGGACTGTGGCAAGGCATTTGCCAAGGGCGCAGTGCTGCTCAGCCACCGGCGCATCCACACGGGTGAGAAGCCCTTCGTGTGCACGCAGTGTGGCCGTGCCTTCCGTGAGCGCCCTGCCCTCTTCCATCACCAGAGGATCCACACCGGAGAGAAGGCCCTTCGGAGGCCCAGGGGCGGCATGCATTCTCAAGCCAGGTCTCTAGGGGCATCCTTAGATGGTACACCTCCCAAGGCCACCTTAGGCCCAGCAGTGGTCCCAAAGCTAACTGAGACCTGAGGTCACAGCAGTGCCCTTCCCTGCTTTCTCTGAATCCCTTTCACTCACTGTTGAAGAGCCTGTGTCCTCAGCAAATCCACCGAGAAGCCCTGTTATGTGAACCAGGTATGGGGAAAATTTGCCAGTCAGTGCCATTTACATATGACAAGATCTGCTGTTCAGCCACCTTTCACACCTATACCCTGAAAGAAGCCATTCTGGAGAGGCATCCGAAGTACGCATGTACCCCCTGGGACTGGTGGAGCAGACAAGGACTGCCTCCAGAATCAGTGGGTATCCTATAGACATTATCTTCATGTTGATGACACTTCAGCGTTTCCTGACTGTGGAAACGGGAAAGGAGCAGGAGTAGGTAGAGATGGCCAAACGACTCTGGCTACACCCAAACTAACAGCTGGAGAGACACCCCCAGGGTTCAGGGCATTCAGTTTCCTTGGTGCCAGCCTCAGGCAAATAAATGGTTTGTTTCTGAACCTCAGCTTTCTCCCTGGGAAAACGAAGAAGGAAGGAGATTTGGGCCAATAGAGGGGAGTATTAAAAAATTAAGGGCGGTGGTGGCGCACGCCTTTAATCCCAGCACTCGGGAGGCAGAGCCAGGTGGATCTCTGTGAGTTCGAGGCCAGCCTGGGCTACCAAGTGAGTCCCAGGAAAGGCGCAAAGCTACACAGAGAAACCCTGTCTCGAAAAACCAAAAATAAATAAATAAATAAATAAATAAAAAAATTAAGGGCTGCAGAGATGGCTCAGAGGTTAAGAGCACTGGCTGCTCTGCCGGAGGTCCTGAGTTCAATTCCCAGCAACCACATGGTGGCTCACAAACATCCATAGTGAGATCTAGTGCCCTCTTCTGAAACACAGGCACACAGTATACAAAATAAATAAATTAATTAATAAATTAATTAATTAATCTTTAAAAAAATGTTCTAGCAACTGGATGTAGTAACATATGCCTTTACGCCTTTAATCCCAGCACTCGGGAGGCAGAGCCAGGCGGATCTCTGTGAGTTCGAGGCCAGCCTGGGCTACCAAGTGAGTTCCAGGACAGACTCCAAAAGCTACACAGAGAAACACTGTCTCAAAAAACCAACCAAACAAACACAAACAAATAATAAATAAATAGAGCTCTAACAGAATCCAAATAAAGTCCAAGTAGACTGACTCACGGACAGACGTGCTAGGTACTGTAGAGTAATCGGCTTTGTGGGTCTTGTATTTGGCAGTTCTACTTCAGATGAGAAAACTGAGGAGCACAGACTACAGAACCAGGACTGAATTTAGATGGACTTCTGCAGTCTCCGACCACAATCCCTTCCCTCTACTCTACCATGCTTGAAGGGCTGGCATAACCCACTAGTAGGAAGTAGAGACCTGTGGGGAAGATATGGCTCTCAGCACTGTAAGACAGATCAACAATGCTGATTCCTCCTCAGCATTTATTCCCATTTTCACCCAAGCCTGTCATCAACCATTACCAAAGCCCATGCTATATGAGCCTTTACATTGTTGTACCTGTTTTGAGAAACCCCAGAGACCACCAAGGAGCCAGTTTCTGATGCAAGCACATAAGGGTCCTTTTATTCAGGTTCAACCTTGGCCACTGCACAGCAGATGGAAGGAAATGTGACAGCGGCCGAGAGCCCAGGTGTAGAGAGTTTTTATAGGGAAAAACCACAAGCCGGGAATTGGCAACTTGGGATTGGGTAGAAGGGGTATGGGGCAAGGTGATTTTTTGAAACTATTGGTCTAGACTTTGGGCACAAAACCACATTTGAAACCATTGGGTTAGACTTTTGGCGGGGAACCACAACCCGCTGAGCATGATTATCTGGACTGCTCAGCAGGATTATCTAGATATCTCCAAGGACCATAAACCGCAGACAGGATGTCTGCAGGAGGATACTGCTCTGCATCTGTTCGAGTTGTCATGGCACATTCCTGAGGTCCTTCCTGGAACTGAGTACAGCAGGTGGTCTGAGATGGTGGCCCTTTCCCTGAGATGGAGCCTGTAAAGTCAAGTCTAGACCTTCACAACATCTGAAGTGGCGGTACAAACTTTAGAGGGCTGCTTATTTTTGCTGGGCTTAGCCATCATGTACCTCCCTGTTGTCATTGTCCCCACTGTGGTCAGAAGGTGAAGAGCTGAGCAGGAAGGACTGGACATTTCCTATGACTTCTGGACCGCCCTTGCCAGTATAATGACCCAGAATGGTGAGGACAGATGGGTGAGATGCAGTTTGCTTCTTGTAGCCTGCATTAGACCAGGTCCCATTTGGACCTGATGCAACACCAACAGGGAAATGGAGGCGTGGTGGCATGTGCCTTTAATCCCAGCATGCAGGAGGCAGAGGAAGGCAGAGATATGCAGAGAAACCCTGTATCAAGAAATTAAAACGAAGAACTAGGTTTGGAAAAAAAACAAAACTAAGAACTAGGCTTGATGATACATACCTGGAAGCCCCACCTCTGGAGTTCAAGGATAGTTTGAGGCCCTATCTCAAGAAGAAAAAAATCAGTCAGGTGTGGTGGCGCATGCCTTTGATCCAAGCACTCTGGAGGCAGAGGCAGATGGATCTCTCAGTTCAAGGCCAGCCTGGTCTACAGAGTGAGATCCAGGACAACCTCAGCTACAGAGAGAAACCTGTCTTGAAAAACAAACAAAAGAGTTGAGATACCCTGACATTTTTAACATCTGTATGAACAGTAATACTTGTTTTTACCTTAAAACAATGCAGATAGTATTAAATGGATGTACACAAACACGCCACTGGAGTGTCAGCACAGAGATTTGGAGATTTGGCTTTAATCTGGGTTCTCAGAGGGGCCATAGGGTAGAGATAGAGCTTGTCTGCAGCCCAGTATAGGATGGGTTATCTACATCCCCCGGGTGGCCACAGGTGGGTGGGGGAAGCCAGGAGACCTGGGCAGAGTGGGACGGCCCCAGAGCAGCAGTTCTGTTGAAAGATGAGGCTTTGTGGATCAGACCGTGGGAGGGAAAAGAGTGGGAAGACCAAGGCAGTGCTGTGATGGCGTCTGCTACTGAGGCTGAGTGCGTGTGCATAGTCGACTCCAGCCCTGTGGGAACTGCAGGGTCATGACCTAAAGAACCTTGCAGGTATGGTGGTGCATACCTGTAACCTAGCACTTGGGAGGCTGAGACAGGAGGATCTGGAGTTAAAAGATCAGACTTGACTGCACATCAAGTTTGAGGCCAGTGTGAGGCTACTAAGACAGTTTGGGAGAAAAAAAAAAAAAGGAAAAGTTCAGATGTGTTGATTAATACCTTTAATTGCACTCAAGAGACAGACAAGCAGTTCTATATGCAAGGTCCAGAGCAGTTGAGGCTACATAGTGAGACCTTGTCTCAGAAAGACAACCCCCCCCACAGAAAAACCCACAACCCATCTTGAAGCTATCCTATACTTAAGACACATGTGTCCCACCCATTTGCCAATGGGATCAGATACATCTTCCACTAAACCTCATGAGTTCATGCAAGGAGGGGTGTTGTGCAGGACCTAGCTGCCCCAAACCCTGTAAAGGCAAGTTCTCCGAGCTAGGCCTCCTAATACTCAGCAGGCCTACTCAGCTCCTCTTGGATGCAACTGTGTAATGCCAGGAGGGCTCAGAACTGAAGCTATATGTTGAGCAAACGAGTTCCCCAACAGTCACAGGAAACCTGAAGCACATGTCCTGAGCCTTCCTGCCCTGCCCAGACTGGGATCAATACCATCTTCTCTTCCTCACCAGCCTCCTCTGCTTGTGTCCCTACTGCCCTTTAGTTCTACCCTTCTTGAATTTTCATCTTCCAACACCCAGAACTGTTCTGTGCCCCTATGTCTGGTCTTCCCGGGCAACTATGGCTATATTGGTTGACCCCTCTTAACAAGCTGTGACTGTAAAAATGTCCTGGGGCTTTCTAAGTCAAAATGTTAAACCAGCTAAGTTTGGTAGCACTCGCCTGAATTTTCAGCACTGGGAAAAACTGAAGCTGGAAGACAGAGAGTTAGAGCCCAAACTAGGGTTTAGAAAAAATGCCTCAAAAAAAGTGGGGGGGAGGAAGAAAGAAAGGAAGGAAGGGAGGGAGGGAGGAAGAAGGAAGGAAGAAGAAAGAAAGAAAGAAAGAAAGAAAGGAAGAAAGAAAGAAAGAAAGAAAGAAAGAAAGAAAGAGGGAAGGAAAGGAAAGGAAGGAAGGAAGAAAGAAAGAAAAGGAAAGGAAGGGAGGGAGGGAGGAAGAAGGAAGGAAGAGAGAAAAAGAAAGAGAAAGAAAGAAAGAAAGAGGAAAGGGAAGGAAAGGAAAGGAAGGAAGGAAGGAAGGAAGGAAGGAAGGAAGGAAGGAAGGAAGAGAAAAGAAAATCCACAGGGAGGTGGTGTTGCATATCTTTAACCCCAGCACTCTGGAGGCAGAGGCAAGTGGATCTCTGTGAGTCTGAAGACATCCTGATCTACAGAGCTAGTTCTAGAACAGCCAAGGCTGCACAAAGAAACTGCATCTTTTTGAAAAATCAAAGAGAAAAGAAAACAAGCACCCCAACAACCAAACAACCAAACACATGCACCACTCTTAGCTCACATAGGTCTACTGGTAACAATGGGGGAAACGGAATAACAGTGGCACCTGGAAGCCAGGAGTAGATGAGTCATCCCTTCTTCAAGGGAAACCAAATACTGAGCTGACATGGAGCCTGTCTCATGATTTTCCTGGGCAGACATAAACCTACACTCCCCAATTAGGGAGAGAGAAAACACAAAAGAGTCCTAAGTCCCTCTTGGCAAATAAGTTTATTGGGGTTACAAGAACATGGGTGACTGAAGAGTCCCAATCAGTTTTTTACCTTAAAATTCAGCCCCCTCCCCCCACTGAGACAGGGTTTCTCTAACAACAGCTTTGGCTGTCCTGGAATTCATTTTGTAGACCAGGCTGGACTCATTCACAGAGATCCACCTGCCTCTGCCTCCCTAGTGCTGGGATTAAAGGCGTGCGCCACCACCGCCTGGCTAAAATTCAGCATTTTCAGCATTTCTTTTTTTTTTTTTTTTTTTTTTTTTTGGTTTTTCGAGACAGGGTTTCTCTGTGTAGCTTTGCGCCTTTCCTGGAACTCACTTTGGGGACCAGGCTGGCCTCGAACTCACAGAGATCCGCCTGGCTCTGCCTCCCGAGTGCTGGGATTAAAGGCGTGCGCCACCACCGCCCGGCAATTTTCAGCATTTCTAAGACCGCACACAGTTGGGCAAGAAGGACTGGTGACCGAAATGTCCCCCCCACCCCAAGAGAAAATGTCAATACCCCAGTTTCATAGACCATTTGCTGTATAATTTCTATTTCATTACCCTAAGGGCAAGGTCATTAGGTCACCATAAGCCCTCTGCTTTAAGATGGCTGAGAGGCCAACCTGGGGAACTTAGATTCTGCCTCAAAAAGAAAAAAAAATTTTTTTTTCATGGTTACATTGATCAACCCAATATAACCACAGTAATTAAGGGAGTTGGGGCTAGCTCAATGGTTGTTTACCTGGTAAATATTCAGTTCTAGATTTAAAGCCCTGGGGGAACAGGTCTACCCCGCAGCACAGTGAAGGCTTGGGATCCAGCTAACCACGGACGGGAACCCTAGAACAAAGGTGCTTCCCGGGGAGAGCTCCCTGGGAAGCCCCTTAAAGCCCAGCCTCTCCCCACTGGGTGGGTGTGAGAGTTGTGTCCAGAGACTCTTGTGAAAGACCTCACCTCAAGATAGTTCAGCTGGTAAGCCGAGTTGACAAACTCTACCCACATAACTGCTCAGGAGTTTCAGATGTTGAGAACTGCTGCTCTCCGCCAGCAGCTGGCAGCCAAGGGGGAGACGGGTAGGGTGAGGGGAGGGCGGATGTCCCAGGAATCATAAGAAACCAGAATACACAGATCCAGTTTAGGATTGAATGATTATATCAAGGTTCATACTCTGGGTATGTGGAAACAAAACTCACGCCATCTGCAACTAAATTTGAAAGCCATTAACTGGGGCGTGTGGTGGCCCACGTCTTTAATCTCAGCAGTCTGGAGGCAGAGGCAGATTTCTGAATGAGTTCCAGGCCAGCCGGGGACTTTTTTTTTTTTTTTTTACCTTGTCCCCCCAAAACAAACAAATAAATAAAACCTCTAACTTTATTTTTATAAAGCCCTTTTCCCAAAAAGCTTTGGAAAAAAATAAACATAGGTCACCTTGTCTAACTGCAGCCTCCAAATTAAAGGTTGAGTGCGTCTCATAATCTCGGACAGAAACCTCCATCCTCATTTGCAGTACTGTTATCTAAAGACTGTTAATGAGGGGGTAATCACATGGTTACCTCCTCAGGACGCTTGCCCACCCATGGGCCTATTGCCCCCACAATACCAAGGGAGCTTAACCGGGTGTTAACAGAGGGAATATTGGGTCTTCCTCGCCCAACATTGCCTCCCACTGGGATCGTCTGGAACCGCCACCTAGTCCTCTTGGGCTGTAGGGCGACGCTAACAAGTGTTGCTTTGGGAACAGCAAAAGGGAGTAGGTTTGTGCACTAGCTGTTACCTAGGAGACACATGGAACGATGATACCTTCTGTAATGAGCGTCAGCTCTAATTGGTCAGGACACCTCACCACCCAATAGAAACCAGGTCCGCTGTGCACATGCGCTAGGACGCTAACCCGCAGTCCGGGTCCGCAGTGGGTGAGTCCTTCGGCTGGGGTGCAAAGGGAGATCGGCTGCCCGGTCGGAAGAGGGAACCCCTGGAACTCTGCGGCACCGGGCTCAAGGAGAGGAACGAAGCACCTCGCGCGTGAGAGACCCTGGAAACGCGCTGTCGTCCTTGCTGAGGCTCACGGGAGACGTAGTCCGAGAGGAGGGGGCCGTGTCTGTGGGGCAGGTGCAGGATTGGCCAGACCGGTAGGGTAACGCGCAAGGCGGGGCGTTCTGTGAGTGGCGGTGGGACGCGCGGTGTCACTTTCCGGAAGTGCTCCGAGCTCCCGAGGCGCCCCGAGGCGTCAGAGGTGAGCTCACTCCTGGCTGGGCTGGACGAACTCCAAGAGCGCCCCCAAGCCTTCGAACCCAGAACGCTGGGCCCCTTCCTCCTGAAAGACCCTCCCCTTTCCCGTGTCAGAGACCAACACCCTCAACTCTAAGGTTCTCCTTGACAAGACAGGTGCCCCCGGAGAGCCGGTTTCAATCCAGAACCTAAGGACTGGGACGCAAGTTCCATTTTACGACTCCACACAACACAGGGCTGTTTGGTTTGGCTTTTGCTTGCTGAAGCAGTGTGTGCATCAACAGCTACGCTGTGGTCAGCGAGCACTGTCACCACACCCATATAGGCCCCTGGGAGCACACCCAGGCTTTCAGCTCTGCCCCAGGTGATGTACTCGAATCCTAGAGCCAACTCTTCAGACAACACAACCCGATCTGCCTTCTGCCTAAAGCCTCGGGGCTCCAGGTCACCTTGGACAATGGTCCTACCTGTGCCCTCCTGATCCTTTGTCTGCTGGGGGAGCCACCTTCGTTTCCCAGTAGTCCTCTCTTGCACCCAATGTTTGAACCAGCCGTTTGCAGTTTCCTAGAAGGTCCTTGGACACCTTCCACCCAGGCATTTATCATTAAGGCATCCTCCAAGTCTCAACTGCTATGCGCTTGCACCTCCCATGACCTTACTTGAAGTGCTTGTGACCTCAGGGTTCACTTTCCTGGCTTCTGGGAGGGGTCTGGTGGGTGCCTTTGGCCTTAGATGACACTCTGATTCCTCCTTTTCTGTAGGTCCCTCTTGTCAGCTCCAAAAAGACCCTTCAAAACAAGAATGCCATCTCCTCTGGGCCCCCCACACCTATCCCTCAGGGACTCCAAGACCACCACTGAGGAGCCTGAGGCTGCGCGACTCAGATTCCGGGGTTTCTGCTATGAGGAGGTAGAGGGGCCCCGAGAAGCGCTGTCCCGGCTTCGAGAGTTGTGTCACCAATGGCTGCAACCTGAGTCACGCTCCAAAGAGCAGATGATAGAGTTGCTGATTTTGGAGCAGTTCCTTGGGGTGTTGCCCCCCGAGATCCAGGCCTGGGTTCAAGGGCAGCGACCAGGAAGCCCTGAGGAGGCTGCAGCCCTGGTTGAGGGGCTGCAACATGATCCTGGGCAGCTGCTGGGCTGGGTGAGTGTAATGACATTAGCTTCTTAGAGGGACAGACTGAAGGTAGAGCCCCTGTGACATGCTTCTCTTCAGATCACAGCCCACATCCTGAAGCCAAAGATGCTTCTTACAGAAGCAAAGACAAAGGAGTCTTCTGGGAGCCACCACGTCGCAGTAGCAATGGAGTCCTCCAAGGCAGGTCCAGCAGAGGCACCACAGGATGCCGGGATAGACAGATCTACCCAGATCGATTGCAGTGTGAAGGAGGAAGCCAGTGCTGATGGACAGGAGATGGGTGAGGGGATGCAACATCAGAATTTCAAAGCCCTGGGTGTGTTGGGGGGTGGGGTATCCTAGGAGAGACTGTACCAGGGCTGAGACTCCTGAAATAAGTCTACATGTCCCCAGTTGGGATAGAGACCCTAGAGAGACTATAAAGCTGGATTTCTGTGATGCAACAAGATAAGGCTGACCTCCCACCATGTCACATGGCAGAGGCAGGCCAAGGTCAATGCAGTAATTACAGCTTGACACTCCTTCCCATCTGCCTATCTTTCTCAGTATCCCCAAGTCCCCTCCTTCCAGCCCAGACCCCTGAGGGACATCTTGGACACCAGGAACCAGTCTCCACATCCTCCCACCCAGGAAGGATCCAGGTAAGCAGCCTCCAGCAGGAAACGCAGGCCATGGGTGTGGAGGGGGAGTGTCTCTGGTGGTTGTGTTCTGCCCTGTGGTCTTGTAGGATCCCCTGCCAGTGACTCATGTGTTTTTTTCTTACTACTCCTGAGTAGTAAATACCTTCCCTCCCAGCAGGTCCTGAGAGCTGAAGACTAGACTGGTAGTCTCCCATTGGAAACGATTTAGGCCTCAGGTCTCAGGCCTGGTCCAGAGTGGCCAGAACTGGTGGGCATGGCTTCCTCACCTCCAGAGAAGTCAGTTACTGGAAAGGTTTGCAATACCCAGAGGCCATGGGCCAGCTGTTATGTGTGCAGGTGGAGAGGAGACTGCACTGTAGGATCCCTGCACTCCTGAGAGCAGATCAAGACACTCTCCCTGAACATGCCTCAAGTCCTCTCTACTGCTCTTCTCAAAGTACAGTGACTTAGAACCTTAGTTAAAAGCCCCTGCGACCTGAGTGTGTATAGTTAATGTGGAGGGGAGAGGGATATTGTCCTCTCCAGCTTCTCCCTGTTTCTGAGCCCCTCCACTTGGGAGCTGGCTTCCTCAATAGAATGTCTAGTTAAGGGGTGCTTCAAAGTGAAGAAACCCCTCTAGGATCCCTCTCTGGTGTCCTCGCTTCCGGCCAGCATCACCTCTAGATGCAGCCTAGAAATTCTGTTATTTTTCCCAACCTACCAAAGACCTATATGGCAGACGTTAGGACAGAGAAAAAGGTAGATCTTTTAGGCAAGTAATTCTGTCCTTGGGAAGGCCGTTATAGGTCGGCCGCTGTCCTGCCACCAAACTCACCCTCTTCAGACCTTGCCTGAAGCAGCTGGCAGGAAGCCCCCAAGCTTTCTCCACCACTGTTGCCTCCTCACCTCCTCACAGTCCTGAAATTCTTCATTATTCTCAACCTTAGTGTTGCCAACCCCACCCCACCCCACCCCACCCCCCGCCACCTTTTTGGGGTTGGTTTGGTTTTGTTTTCTTTGAGACAGCATCTCTCTACACAGCTCTGACGGTCCTGAAACTAGCCATGTAGACCAGGCTGGCCTTGAACTCACAGAGATATGCCTGCCCCTGCCTCTGAGCACTGGGATCAAAGGTATGCCCCATCATGCCTGGCTCCTTAATCCTCTTTCTAAACAATAAAATTAAATAAATAAAGGTTTTGGGAATGTAATTCAGTTGGTAGAGTGCCTGCCTAGCATTCACGAGGTCCTAGGTTCTATCCCCAGCGCTTCATAAACTGGGTGTGGTACCACTCACCTGTAATCCCAGAACTCAGGAGGTGGAGACAGGAATATCAGAAGTTTAAAGTCATCCTCAGCTACACAATGAGTTTGAGGCTAGCCTGGGCTACATAGACCCAATCTCACACATACAGACCCCAATAAAGGCCAAAAGAAAAAATTACCCCAAGGAGGTTTCAATTTTCTTTATCAGTCTTGACAGAAAGTGGCTGAATTCCAGGTAGTCTCCTGGCCTTTTCCAGCACATCCTGTACACAGTTTAGTGACCAGAAGAAGGATGGGGGACAGCCACAGTGTCTCTGTCGAAAACCTACCTACAGTTTCGTCCTTCTGGCCATCACTGAGATAGGTCACTGAGAAGACAGTTGACAGACGAAAGCTGACCCAGTACTCACAAATGCCAGTTCTGACTTAGTCCTTAGCCTGTTGCAGATAGAAACTAGGTAACCTGACACCCACTGGGTGGTGGATAAGGATGTGAGGCGGGGTGGGAGAGGCAGTGACTGGTTGCATCCTTGCAGAAGGAGTGGGGCCTGTTGGACTCATCACAAAAAGAGCTGTACTGGGGCGTGATGCTGGAGAAGTACGGCACAGTGGTGTCCCAGGGTGAGGTTTGATGGCCCTCTCTCTGTTCTGTCTTCCCTGCCCCATCCTCCACTGTGCTTCCCTGCATGCGCTAAGCCCCCACTGGGGCTCCCGGTGCAGCGGCCCAGCATCTGGCTGCATCTCTTTCCTACCAGAAGGTGCCCACCCCCACACTTCTGTGCAAGCACCCATGTAACTGAGCCCCCAAATGAACGTTCTCCCCACCCCAGCAAGCCTGCCGCTGCTAGAGCCAGATATACAAGTTGAGTCTGAGCGGAGGCCAAAACAGGAGACCCCACACGCAGGACCGGAGTCCCTCAGGAGCCATCTCCCAGAAGTGGGAGCCATTGCAGGTCCAGAGCTAGTTCAAGCCTGCACATCCTCTCCAAGCGAGAGCCGAAGCCCTTGCAAGGACCCTCCAGGCTTGCCTCCCACACCACTGCTCGAAGCTCCGGTTAGGCCCGCACCTCGGAAGCTGTACACTTGTGAGCAGTGCGGCCTCAGCTTCGATTGGAAGTCTGTTTTCGTCATCCACCATCGCACACACTTGCGTGGGCCGGGCCTGGAAAGGCCACCCCAGATGTCCCGGGAGCCAGCCATTCGGTGCTCCACTGGCCTTCGGGGCTATGTGTGTGTGGAGTGCGGGCGCAGCTTCAGCTGGAAGTCACAGCTGGTCATCCACCGCAAGAGCCATGCAGGCCAGAGGCGCCACTTCTGCCGGGACTGTGGGTGCAGCTTTGACTGGAAGTTTCAGCTGGTCATTCATAGGAAGATCCACCAGCCAGAGGGCCCATGAGCAGCTGGAGAAGGCTGTCTCACCTTGGGGGCCTCCAGCCCCTAGTGCAGCACTCCAGACATGCCCACCAGTCAAGAGGAGGCTGGGGCGTACCCCCACATGAATCAGGGACCCCAAGAAGATCCCTTGTTCAAAGTCAGACCACCCAGTGTAAGAAGAGGCTGTTTCCTTCTGCCCCTGCTTTATGAAGTCTGGTCTGGCCTGAACCGTACTAATCCATGGCTGGCGTCCGGCTTGTGCATCTCCCTGCTTCGAGATGCTCAGAAATTGCCTTAGGTTCCTTCTTGCAGTGGCTGGGCAAGATGTCTCTGTGGAAGGTACAGGAAAACCACAGCTGCCTTTCCATCCTCTTGCATGTGACCCTCAACTAACATACTAGATTTTTAACATAAGTTATACGTCTATAACTAGAATTGCTGAGGAAGAATTCTGACTTCTAGCTTCCACTGATCAAAAGAGCTTGTGTGCTGACTGACCAGCTACAGGAACCACAGGGCTGCTGAGCCCAGACGGTTCAATTAGTCACCTCTCTCCTCCAGCCTACCTAGTTCCTTGGCCACACACATTGCTCACCACCCCCCTGACCTCTGAATTCCTGAACCTGGACTTGGATGAACAATAAGGGACTTTCCTTTGGGAGTGTGAGGGGACATGAGCGGCTTCTGAGAAGGTAGACAACACATGGGTGCCTCAGGCCAGGCATGCCTCCAGGTCAGGCCTACAACCCACACAACCAGGTTCATCATTAAACTGGAGGGCAAAGAGCTACCCAGGGAACTGTGACCCTCAGAACAGTCACTTATAACTTGTCAGTGCATGGTGTTCTATTAACTGTGCCTGTAAACTAGGTGACTCAAAACAGATCTGTTTGCTAATTGTGCCAACATCAAAACAGTGAAATACATCTCACTACATCAAAGATGTTAGCAGGGGAGCAGGCTCCACCTGGGAGGCCCAGAGGTTACTTGAGGCCCTTGACTTATGGCCTCTTTTTCTATCTTCAGCAGTGGACAGTTGTTTATCTCCTTGGATCACTGACTCTCCGATTTCCACTTACAGGACCTTTGTAGTGGCCTGGGCCCCTTATATATTCCAGGGGTGATCACCATCTTCAGGTCAGATGATGAGGCACATTTTATTTTGTTTGAGACGGAGCCTCCTCATGTAGCATAAGCTGGCCTCTAACTGGTGATCCTCCTGTCTCAGCTTCCTGAGTGCTGGAACTATAGGCTTGTACCACCAAGACCAGGTTGGTATTTTTAAATTCTCTATATGTGTGTTTGAGATAGTCTCGATGTAATGTCCAGGCTGACCTCAAACTCTCTGTGGTGGTCCAACCTCAGCCTCCTGAGTGCTGGGATTAAAGGTGTGCACCATCAGGCCAGGCTAAGACTTTAAATACTTTTCATTTTAAAATTCGGAAATATGGAGCAGGTTTCAGTGTTGTCGGCAGATCTCTGTTAGTTTGAGGTCAGACTGGTTTCCATAGTGTGTTCCAGGATGGACAGGTGCTATGTAGTGAGATCCTGTCCCAAAAATAAGGATATAAATAAGCAAATAAATTCTAGAGATGGGCATATCAAAGTGTCTTCTAGAAACTTTGGGTTTTCAACACTGTCCATTCTTGCTCACTACTCTCCAGTTCTTTTCTCTGTGTGTGTGTGTGTGTGTGTGTGTGTGTGTGTGTGTGTGTGTGTGTGTGTCTGTATTCCTCTGATCTCGGTGGCAGTTGGTATGGGGATTTTTTTTTTTTTTTTTTTTTTGGTTTTTTGAGACAGGGTTTCTCTGTGTAGCTTTGCGCCTTTTCCTGGATCTCGCTCTGTAGACCAGGCTGGCCTCGAACTCATAGAGATCCACCTGCCTCTGCCTCCCGATCGCTGGGATTAAAGGCATGCACCACCACCGCCCGGCTGGTATGGGGATGTCTTAACCCTCCACAGCTGCCTGTGTTACAGCTCTTGGCCCTGGGTCTGAGAGCCTTGGATCTAAAGACCTGAAAGCTCTGTGTTCTAGAGATCAGAGCCCAGTGGGTGCCAGCCTGTCTGGTCTGAGCTGTCTCTTTCAGTATCACAGACTACCTTGTGAAGAGAAGGCCTGTATGTGTGAACTTTGTATTCATGCATTGTTTCCATCCCAGGACACAGCCATACCACATACACAGGGGCCTGTAATCCTGCAAACTGGGGGTGGGTTCTCAGTCCTACCTAAATACTCTGCATCTAACCCCTCTGTGGAGTAGCCCTGTGTATGGGCCTGCAGTGTGACCTTTGCCTGGAGGACTCCCTCCACTGGCCACATAGAAGCAAATGCAGACATTGGAGCAGCCCAGCCTGTATGCAATCTCTACCCATGTGGTAGGACTTTCAGCATTTTTATTGAAATTCTCCAGTTTGCAGCTCTCCTAGTGGTCTCTGAGATGATCTCTCCATATGACCCAAGCCTGCCCTCAGTTCTTTTTGTTTGTTTGTTTTGTTTTGTTTATTTTTTGACACAGGGTTTCCAGGTTTCTCTTTGTAACAGCCCTGATGTCCTGGAACTCACTCTGTAGACCAGGCTGGCGTCGAACTCACAGAGATCTGCCTGCCTCTGCCTCCCGAGTGCTGGGATTAAAGGTGTGCACCCCCACTGCCCGGCTTGCCCTCAGTTCTTTTGATGTGTGTGTGAACCATATGCATGTACAGTGTCCATGGAAGTCATAAGAGAGAATAAAATCCCCTGAAACTGGAGCTACAGGTGGTTGTGAGTCACCATTTTGGTGCTAGGAACTGAACCAAGGTCCCCTGCAGGGTCAGCAAGTGCTGACCATAACCACAGAGCCATATCTTCAGCCCCCTACCTTAAGTTCTTGATCCTTGGTGACATCATGACATCTTTTTTTTTTTTTTTTTTTTTGGTTTTGATTTTGGAAACAGAGTTTCTCTGTGTAGCCCTGGCTATCCTGGAACTCATTATGTAGGCCAGGCTATCCTCAAACTCATAGATCCACCTGCCTCTGCCTCCTAAGTGCTGGGATGAAAGGCGTGCGCCACCACCACCCAGCTCCTTGGTGGCATCTTAATTATAGATGTGTGTACCGCTACAGCTGACCCTTTGTTGTTGTTGTTAGTTTTTTTTTTTCTTGGCAAGAATTCACGTAGCCCAGGTCCTCCCTTGTCTACACCTTCTGAATGCTGGGATTACAGGCGTGTGCTACCACACCCAGCTCACGAACTTACAAATATGCCTGGTGGCCCCTGCCGTAATAGCCGCTCATCTTTTCCTTGGACTGAGATGGGCAAAGACCGGGGAGAAGGTGTCTTTCTCCACTATTCCCGCTGTTGTGAGTCTCCACAGAGTCTTCCTGTAGTCTTACCCAATCCTCGAGCTGGCCCCACCTTTCTCTTCCTCCCCACTTGGGTTTTCCTCACCCCTACCCCGGTTAAACCCAACGGAAGCTCAGATACCTCACCACCTTGAGTTGCCTCGCTGACTCAATGATTGACAGAGCTGGGATGCGTGCTGGCTTTGTCTGACTGGAGACATCCATGGGGATGGTATGATGGCTCAAACTAAAGCCAACTATTATGGGCTAGGTTCATAAGTGAAACTGGAAGGGAGGAGGGCCTCAAACACCAGGTAGCAAGTTCCCTTCCCCACTGTGTTCCCACACGGATTGCTGAACAAGCTGCTCCCCTCACTCAAGCTTAGGCCTAATAGCAGACCTCCAGGCAAGCCAGTCACATCCTTGAGCGGGACCAGGAGCCCCCGCAGCTCAGCTCAAGGCCTCTCTGGCTCCTGTCCTGCAGTGGGGTCCAGCTCACTCAGAAGGCTTTTTGTTGTCGTTGTTGTTGTGTTTTGGGATTGGTTTTGGTTTTTTGTTTGTTCTTTTTTTTTGGGGGGGGGTGTTGTTTCAAGACAAGGTTTTTCTGTGTAGCCCTGGTTGTCCCGGAACTGTCTCTGTACACCAGGCTGGCCTCAGACTCACAGAGATCCAAGTGCCTCTGCTGGGGATAAAGGTGTGCGCCACCACTGCCTGGCCAGAAGACCGTCTTAATCGTTGAAAGGTTTGTGTTTTTCATAGTTGGTCATGGTATAAACCTGTACTCCCAGCAGGAAGATCAGGAGTTCAAGTCTTTCTTAGCTACATAGCAAACTCCAGCCTGTGTTCTATGAGACCTTGTCTGATAAAACAATCTAAATATAAACCAATAAAATCGGTATCATCTTTTGGGTGGTTTTTCCAATCATAATAAATTTAGAGCAAAAGGCAGAATGCCAAGTATTTGACAATAGTATATACACATACACACACACACACACACACACACACACACACACACACACACACACACGAGTGTGGTCTGTGTGTGTTTGAATGTGTGGGTGCACATGTATCCAGGTGTTGTGTGGAGGCCTGAGGTCGATGTTGGGAATCTTGCTCATTCTTCCAGTCAAACCCAGAGCTTGCTGATACGGCTCATCTCACCACCTTGCCCTGGCGATTGTCTCCGAATTCTGAGGCTGGGATGACCGGAGCCACCATACCCACCCAGCATTTATACGGATTCTGGGGACTTGTCCTTGTCCCTTTGCTTGTGCCACAAGCTCTTTAAGAGATGAACCACCAGCCGGGCAGTGGGGGAGCACACCTTTAATCCCAGCACTTGGGAGGCAAAGGCAGGTGGATCTCAGTGAGTTTGAAGCCAGCCTGGTCTACAGAGTGAGATCCAGGACAACCAGGATTGTTACAAAGAGAAACCCTGTCTCAGAGAGAGAGAGAAAGAGAGAGAGAGAGAGAGAGAGAGAGAGAGAGAGAGAGAGAGAGGAGCCACCCAACTGCCACCCCAGGCACACATACAGGCCTTCGAGTTGGCCCACACCAATACCTACCCCATCTATGACCTTCTGGAGTACGTCCTTCATAACCATAGCCACAGTATCCCATGACTCAGAGCAACAGCAGGATATCGGAGGGGAAGGTTGGCGGGGGTCCATTATTTATAGTGTACCAGAAGCCAGAGGCCTTGAACCTGACCAACAACTCATTGCACAATGAACATGAGCAGGTAAAGCTGTTGGGACACAAGGGTCTACTGAATGACACACCGCAGCTCCCACTGCCACTAAGAATGAAGAGGTGATGGAGAGGTGGGAAAGACTGATGGAGGAGCAAAGTGGGTTCTTGTGTGTGTGTGTGTGTGTGTGTGTGTGTGTGTGTGTGTGTGTGTGTGCTTGTTTTTGTTTTACTTTTTTGTTGTTTTGTGTTTGTTTTAATTAACATTTTTTATTTTATTTTATTTTATTTTTTAATATCCTTTTGCAGGGGGACACTACAAGGGTGAAGGGTAACTATGGAGAGACTGGAAAATAAGTGGGATTGGGATGCATGATGTGAAATTCCCAAAGAATCAATATAAAAAAATTATGGTTAAAAAAATAAGATAAGCCATCTCCCCAGCTCAACAATTTATATATTCTCTTGGATAAAAAGCTCCAGGGGCTGGAGCAATAGCTCAGTAGTTAAGAGCAGTGTCTGCTTTTCCAGAAGATTCGATTTCAATTCTCAGCAACTCAATGGCAGCTCACAACTGTCTGTAACTCCATTTCTAGGGGATCTGACACTCTCTTCTGGCCTTCCTGGGCACTGTACACACATCGTGCACAGATTCACATGCAGGCAAAACACCCATACATGAGAAATAAAATAATATATAAAAAAGAAAAGAGAGGGGGCTGCCGAAATAGCTCAGAGGTTAAGAGCACTGGCTGTTCTGCCAGAGGTCCTGAGTTCAATTCCCAGCAACCCCATGGTGGCTCACAACCATCTGTAATGAGAGCTGGTGCCCTCTTCTGGCTTGCAGGCATACATGCAGACAGAACTTTGTATTCACGATAAACAAATAAACCGAGAGAGAGAGAGAGAGAGAGAGAGAGAGAGAGAGAGAGAGAGAGAGAGAGAGAGAGAGAGAGAGAGAGAGGGCCTTTAATCCCAGTACTTGGGAGGCAGAGCCAGTCGGATCTCTGTGAGTTCGAGGCCAGCCTGGGCTACAGAGTGAGTTCTAGGACAGGCACCAAAACTACGCGGAGAAACCCTGTCTTGAAAAACCAATAAAAGGTGCTGGAGAGATGGCTCAGAGGCTAAGAGTACTGACTGTTCTTCCAGAGGGCCTGAGTTCAATTTCCAGCACCCATATGGTGGCTCACAACCATCTGTAATGAGATCTGGTATCCTCTTCTGTGTTCATAATAAATAAATAAATCTTTGAGAGAGAGAGAGAGAGAGAGAGAGAGAGAGAGAGAGAGAGAGAGAGAGAGAGAGAAAAACGCTCTTCACCATGTGGGACATGTAAAAACACACCCATCTGTGACATGAGAAGAAGGCCCATAGAACCTGACCATGCTCTCATTCTAATCTGGAACTTAGAGCCTCCACAGCTAAGAAAGAAATCTTTGTTGTCCTTTTTTTTTTTTTTTTTAAAGAAAAGAGAGTGGTGTGTTGGGGCTGCAGCACATTTGGAGAGTGTCCCAGCTCGTTTTATGTTCACTTGATACAAGCTATAGTCATCTGAGAGAAGGAAACCTCAATTTTAAAAAAACGCCTCCATAAAATTGGGTTGCC